TTTTCATGCATTTCACTCATTTATACATGTGCATTGACCCATGACCAGATGGCGTTATATACGCGTATATATGTAAATATATGTATATGGGATATGGGAAAAGGTTACGGCATTATATACGCACCACCACCTGATCAGCTGGTATATGTTGATGATATTGCCCACAGTGGCCGAGATGATATGATGAGATGCCCTCAGTGGCTTGATGATATTATATACACCCACACCTATACATGGCACGACATTTATACGCACGTGCATGACATTATAGACGTTTCAGAATTTACAAAGTTATTCAGATTTAAAGATGTGTTTCCGTATTCTGTATTTCATCTATGTCTTTTACGTACTCGTTTTCATGCCTTACATACTCAGTACATTTTTCGTACTGACGCCCTATTTCACGGGGCCTGCGTTTCATGCCCGCAGGTGCAGGTAGGCAAGATGACGGTCCCCCTTCTTAGGATCCCTGATCAGCGAGAGTTGGCGTGCTCCACTTGATCTGGAGCTACTTTGATTTTGGTACGATACATTTGTGTATATATATGTATATGGGTATGATGTGGCTCAGTCCCGTCTTTGTACAGTTATGTTTCTATTAGAGGTCTGTAGACAGTATGTCTAGTTAGGTTGTATGTAGCCTTGTCGGCTTTCAGTTTTGGATGTATAGTTGTCTATAGCAGCCTTGTCGGCTCGTCCACTGTATTCTACATGTATATGTACATATGCCTTGATGGCAGGTTTCCTTCACGTATGTTATTTTCGTAATGCAGCAGATATTATTTAGGTTCATATCTTAGACGCATGCTTAGGGGTGTTTGACAGGTAGTACTCAGGCACCCGTCACGGCCCATCGGTTTGGGTTGAGACACATCCATCTTGTCTTGGTCTTCTTCAGTGACCAAGCATCGGAGATAGCTAGCCACCTCTATGGGGCAGATAGAATCAGAGCATCCTCCGGGACCGAGATGATAATTGATCGCTTACGCCTGGGATCAACACTGGGGGTCGGAAACTGATTGGTCAACTTAAAGCTCGAGGAAGACTCACTCGATCTCTTCCTCGGTACCTCCAAGTCATCCAAACCGGTGACATCTTCCACTCCAACAAATAGCCACGGAAAGGGTCTTCTGCTCCGTGGACCTCTTCTTCGTGGCAAGTCTCCACTGCCTGAGCTTCATGTATCATCGACTTAGTGAATGAAGGAAATGAGGGGGAATCTCTCATATCTATCACACCAAGTATATCTTTGGGAGAACCGCCTTCATCTCGGGGAACCTCTATCCCGGTTTCTATACCAGTATCAACCGCCTCCTCGGTAGCCCTCTCACCTCGAGTCGAAGCGCCGTCAGCTCTTTCTGGATCGGGGACTTCGGTCGAAGCCTTCCCCTTAATCACATCAAGTCAAGGTAGAGCAGTTTCAATTCCCACCAGCTTAGTAGTTCCTTGAATCTCGATTCCAACTTGTACACGGGCCACCAGCCCGGAGTCTTCTTTTTCTTTTTCTTCGGGCTCTTCCCTTAGCCGTTGGACTGACTCCAAAGTTAAATGGATGATGTTCCCCTGGGGTTTATGGTCTATTTTTTGGGCTTCTACCCCTCAGAGTTGGTGAAAGTCGAAGCCCTCTTCCTCTTCTTCTCCCTCACCGGTTTCGAGACAGATTATGGGGGAAGGATTTCTTCATCACCAGACGGGGGCCTCATCATCACATCCTTCGTGAGACCTACAAAAAAAGAGAAATGAGTTAGTTCGAAAAAATATTCGAACAATGGTCAAATCATTAAGTCAGGAAGAAAAATTTACCATGACTACTAGCCTCTCATCGACCCTTCGCCAAATCGTACCATGCACGCTCAGCATGCGTCGACTGCAATATTAGGCTCCTGACCTAGTCCTCAAGTTGGGGAACCACACCCGACATCCAGGCAACGGTTGTATCAAGTAAATTACTGATATGAAAGGATGAAAAAAACAGAGACAATAAACAGAAATTAATGACGGAATTATACTTACGTTTCATGTTCCATTTCTTGGGAAATGGCATACTCTTGATCAGGATCAAGTCCGAGATTTTCACTCGAAAAATCGGCCCATCTAGTCCCGATATTTATCCTCATCTATGATCGAGAAAGGTACCCTGATGGCCTGATGTTTAAACTTTATTAGTCTCCCTTGATAGAATCGGGCCTATATAGGCATATGAGGTGGTCGAGGGTGAAGGGAAGCCCATCAACTTTGCTTACGAAGAAACAAAGTAGTATCACTATCCTTATAAAGAGGGATGAATTTGAATGAGGGTCACCTCGTATTTCTTGTAGAAATCTATGTTAATCGGATCCAAGGAACCTAACGTAAAGGGTAAGTGTAAACACTTAAGAACCCTTCCACGTGGGTGGTGATTGACTCTTCTGGAGCAGGCACCACCACATGTTTCTTACCCAATTGCAATATTTTTTTAACCTGGTAGAGGAATTTTTCGGTTATCGAGCATATATACCTCGATACTGGCTCAAATCGGCCCGATACTGAGGAAGCCTTTTCAACCTTGAAAAATCAGAATCAATGACACACCCTCCGGGAAAAAACCCTTCAGGGCGTGGCTTTGCCACTGGTTCCCCACCGACCGACCGTGACGAGCGATTTATACTTTTATGAATGAAGAAGAATGGGAACTGAGGAAGAGCACTTGGTATTTTGTGATGAAACAGGCGAATAAACACCAAAATCTGAAAGGTTACAACTTTGAGGAAAGCGAAAGACTAGAAGATAAGAGTGAAGTAGATTTGAAAATCAAGTTTGGGCAAAAGAAGAAAGATACATTTATAGGTTTAGGATGACAGTTCAAACCTAGTAATAGATGATCACCGACTGACGCGCATTAAATGCCTGGGAAACTGTACCGACGAGACGTTTCGGTTACCCCTGCTGCTTACGTCATGATGTATCGAGGTGAAGATCGAGGGCTCAAATCGTTTCTTGTCATTACTTCCAAAAAAAGGGACTATCTGTATACGGTCAAAATCGGGCTTGCTCTATTTTATTCTTAATCGAGACCGGGGTGTGGCAGGCCAAGGTTCGACCATGTTTCATACCGAACCATGACACGAAGTTAGATTGCCAAGCTCGTGACTCAGGGACCGATCGAGATCGAGGTCAGCCAAGATCGAGACCAAGCAGGATAGAAATCGAGCAAGATCAAGGGAAGCCTGCTGAGCCAAATAAAGGAAAGCCAAGATATTCGCGATCGGGCGAGGATCACGGCGGAAATCTCGGCACGTATCAAGAAGAGACCGATTAATCAGCTAATCATGGGATTTCTTACTGTATTTAGGATTGTATTAAAGGTAGAACTTCCTTACTATATAAAGGGGGTCTGTGCATTTGTAAAAGGCATCATATTCACGCAATACAAGGCAATATACTACCATTCTCGTAAGCTCTCAATACCCTATTATTTTATTCATATTTTTCAGTGAAATACTCGTTTGGTTCGAGGGCCAAAACCATACACTTCCTTTGGTTTGCTTTTATTCTATTTGCAGTTAATTTCATTATCAATTTACGCTTTTTCTCAGTTTGCGCCAAGTAAAATCACGTGTCCTTAAAACCACAATATAAATTTAATTGTTATCCGTTTTTAAGGTAAACAAAACTCAGTTTCTTTGATTTAGCTACTTTCTTATGTTTGATTGATACATTGATTAGAACAGAAGATCTTTTGTGTCTCACTATTGTATAAATTTTGTGGAATAAGTCTCTTTCTTTAGGCCACCAGCCTCGTTGAGCCACCCCGAAATTTAAGGTACGCCGGGGATAGCAGGCGCCTAATGACTCCCCAAGAATTTTTATCATAGGCTTAACAGGTTTTTGGCGGGGAGAACTGACACGAATATAAAACCTTTTAAAAAACCATGGTTAAAATAATATTTTCCTGCAACACTAATCCTCACTATAGTAGATCAAAAGCTACAAGCGAAATAGGAAATAAATATGGTGGAGACTCAAGTTAAGGCAAAAAATCACCAACATTATAATGAAAATGAAATGATATTGCCTATTTAGTTGGCCAGGCATGAGGACTGAAATGTTCAATTGCTAGTTGTGGAATGAATACTAAGCCTTATAACATGATGGTAAATAATAGGCCTGAATCCAAAAAAAATACATATATATATATAATATTAATAACGATAGTATGTTCAAACTCGTGAACTCACAACGCTATTTAAAGGCAAAAAAAAATTGATGACTTCTCTCCGTACCTATGATTTATAATATTGCAAGTTGCTTTCAGTAATGCAGACATCGGTTTTTTATTGGATACAGCTTTATTTGCTTTAATTTCTTTCTCTATATAATATGTGCTCATGTCGGGGTCTTTATTGGTGGGTGGGTCATTTGATTTATTTAGAATATGAAGTGAGAAAAAAAAAATCCGTACTTTAACGTCAATTTAGAAGTTATTATAGCAAATTTGAAAACTTAAACTAAGCTTATAGTAATTAATTATTATGAGAAATACATGTGATCAAATAATTCCGCAATAATTTTGAAGAATTACGAAGTTTGGATTTGTTATAGCTGCTGAGGCCAATATATGTGAAAGGTTTATTAATGTTGTGTGTGTTTGCCATTATCAATTCAAGTAAATGAAATTGTTTGCCATATTATATTCAAGAAAT